AGTAGTTTCCATCCATTGGTTCTTGTCTTGCCTTCTGGTGAAAAATAGGTTGACACCCCACCTTTGAAAAATAGGTTGATACCACATCCCCCTTCTTTATAGCAGCCCCTTAGACCAGTGGTTCTCAACCTGTGGGTCGGGACCTCTTTGGGGGTCGAACGACCCTTTCACAGGGGTCGCCTAAGACCATTGGAAAACACATATTTTCAATGGTTTTAGGAATAATTTTATTGTTGGGGGTCACCACAACATGAGGAATTATATTAAAAGGTCGCAGCATTAGAAAGGTTGAGAAACACTGCCTTAGACATTGGAACACTGCTATCATGTAACCCCTAGTCTGGGGTGGGTTCTACTTACCTTTACTATTGGTTTGCAATGGGGCCGTGCGTGTGCACTTCGCTGAAAAATATTTCAGGTTTTGCCACTCTCCTTTCATATGCAATTCTGTGCATAAATGCTTAGAAGTAAATATCCCCGAGTTCAGCAGAGTGAGCGTAGCATTGCAACCTTCAAAAGAAAAGAAGAGCCTTCCTTTCTCTTTGATGCACCAATATATTAAATGTGTATGTGTGTAGCTTTGAAAGTATGGCTACCTCTGGCCTTCATAAATGATTACAATCCAGAATTCTAACACTACAGCTCTACAGTCTCCTTTTAAACAACCTAAAAACTTTGATGGATCCATCCAAGCGTCTGTCGCCTACAGCAGTCAGTGTCTCTCCAGGTGAGTCCAGGGAAGAAAGTTTATAAATGGGAAATAAGGACAAGAGTTTTCTTTCACTATTATACTTAAGCACCTACTACTAAGGGCAAGTAATCAGGGGTGGGATTCAGCCGGTTCAAACCGGTTCGAGTGAACCGGTAGCTCCAACGATCAGCTGAGAGCGAACCGATTCACTCCGCTGATCAGCTGGGCCCACCTACCCGCCCCTGTGGAATACCAACCTATATTTCCTTTGTTTGAAGCCCAGCTGATAGAGCGGATTGCTGCACCTCAGCTGTTTTACTCACCGGGGCTGCAGTAGAAGGTAAGTTATAGAGCTGTTTTCAAACGCACTGTGCGTGCATGGAGCGCATGTTTGCAGGAGTGTGAAGCACACACTCAACGAACAGGTTGTTTACATCAGTTGAATCCCACCATTGCAAGTAATCATTGGTTCTGCAATTAATTTACGGCTACTGAGCCTAGCAGCCATGGGTTGCTCCATGAATTTCTCAGGTTTCTTTTTAAAACCATATCAATTAGCAACCATAGGGACGTCTGATAGCAGCAAATTGTTTTCGTTATTGATAGCGGAGAATACTGTAGCTCAGGTTTGAAATGAGAGGGGGGGTCCCTGGTGCTGTCTGAGCTTGGCTGTTTTCCTGCAGATGTTTCATTACCCAAAACTAGGTAGTATCATCAGTGTGATGGCATCCCTGATGATGCTACCTAGTTGGATAATGAAACATCTGCAAGAAAACGATCAAGCTCAGGGACCCCTCAAATTGTTTATGTGTCATGTAAAAGATATGCTTCCTTTTTTAAGTCCTGAATTTTTTTTGTCTTGAGTTTTGCTGGATGGTTTTATGTTCTACTATATAGGGATGAGGTGGCTCAGTGGCTAAGACGCTGAGCTTGTCGATCGAAAGGTCGGCAGTTCAGCGGTTCGAATTCCTAGTGCCGCGTAACGGGGTGAGCTCCCGTTACTTGTCCCAGCTTCTGCCAACCTAGCAGTTCGAAAACACGTAAAAAATGCAAGTCGAAAAAATAGGGACCACTTTTGGTGGGAAGGTAACAGTGTTTCATGCGCCTTTGCCATTTAGTCATGCTGGCCACATGACCACGGAGACAGCTTCGGACAGCGCTGGCTCTTCAGCTTTGAAACGGAGATGAGCACCGCCCCCTAGAGTCAGGAACGACTAGCACATATGTGCGAGGGGAACCTTTACCTTTACCTTATACAGGAGGAAAAGAAATCCTCCTTTCTTACTGATCAGTTGTTCTGTTCCTGCCTTTATATACCTCTGCTATATTAACTGTCTTTGATCCAAATTTAAAAAGTCATTCTTTATTTGTAAAAGAGTTGCTCTATTCCTCCACAAACACACACACCCTCAATAATTTGGGTTGCACTTGGGGTTCTGCAATATACTTTTTCCAGTATGCTGACTAGTAGGACTCCAGAATGGATGTGCTTAAGGTAGGATCCGGGGTGCAAAAATCCAGATGACATGATGCAGCAAAATGTTTTTCCTGCCTCCTAATAGTCATTTTCCCACACAGTTCTAGTAGCTATACACAAAGACACAATACTTTGCCAGTTTTATTTTCACTTCCTTAAAAGATAATTCATTTACCTTAATGCCATACACAATGTTGGCCTTTTTCCTTAGAAAAAAATGATTCAATTAAAAAAATCCAAAGTAATACTAATGCTCTATAATATTGTTTTCATCAAGAAAGAGCTACACAAATAGTTATTAGCCCTTTTACTAAGAAGCACCTTTTGGTGTGTTAAGAATCATATGAGCTGATGTTATCCATATTAATTGGTAACCCCAATTCATTAAACTATTAATAGTTTAAATTTTCAGCTAGCTCTACCTGTTCAGTTGGCACATCACCGACTAAACTGTATTTGCATTTTGGCAGTAAGACACTGTGCATTAAAATAAGCACACACTTACAACATCCTAATACACGATGCAATCCAAAGTATAAAGAAATATTTATGTAAGTAATTTTTGAATTAAAAGTTTTATGAGAAGATAAGGCATTTCACAAAGTATCTGGTTTATTTATTTGGATAGCATTCACTAACCATACTATAACTCTTGCAAACAATAATTATGTTATATGTCACCGCCCAAAAATATTGTCATGTAGCACCTGGTAACTGGGTATGTTTTGGCCTAATTTTTTCAACCTTTTGTTCACTTTCAAATTATAGATTTTAAAGTCCAGTCTGACAGCCTGGTAGACTGAGTTTGCACGTCACACTAAACCAAACCATGATTTACTTAGACACATTTTTTTTTTGAATTAACCACAATTGGCTGGATTTCCAAAGCACCCTGAATCAAAATCAGTGAAATCTCATGTAAGTTTAATGCACTACAACTAATATATCTTCAAAATTGTAAAAGTCATTGATAGAGATGGGTGGCTATAGAAATTAGCTAGATTAGCTAGCTAGCTAGATGATAGATGGATGGATGGATGGATGGATGGATGGATGGATGGATGGATAGATAGATAGATAGATAGATAGATAGATAGATAGATAGATAGATAGATAAGACAGACAGACAGACATCTCTAAATGACAGCAAAGAATTACTCCTTTCTCTATCTCTTTGCTGCTATCTGTTGGATGTCTGAGTGGTTGGAGCTGAGATCTGGCAAATCAAAGTGTGGAATCTTCATCTGATATCCTCCCACTCCGTTTCCCCAAATCCTAGATTATGGTGAAACTTAATCTTAGATTAAGGTGAATTCTTCACCTTCTAACTGGGCAGTCCATAGGAGTTGGGTGGCCAATAAATTCAAATAAACAAAAATTAGTAGGATAGAACAGCAGGGTTCTCTTTGCATATCTGGAGGGGAGGATATAAAGACTTCCCATTAGGTGAAAAGACCCCCTTTCATTGTAGTGGGGGGAGAGGGATAAATGAGGCTTTACCAATGAGAAGAATCGGACCAGTAATAAGATCTCCCCAACGCTGATGACTTCTAGGTGTTTGGGGGCTTCAATTTTCATAATCTCCCCAGTCAAGATCCTTTTAACCGATGGTCGTCTGATTTGGTACAGCGGACTATTTAAAGGCTGCTTCTCTTTCCCTCTCTCCCTCCTTTTCTAACAGCATCCTTTCACTTACCAAGTTCGGTCCTGAGGAAAAGCCGGTTGGACCTCACTTATTCTTCGTAACTCGGGGACTGGGGCGATTTAGGAACATTTTATTGACCGAAGGGATGGAGAAAAAGAGAGAGAGAGAGAGAGAGAGAAAGTGAGAGAGAGAGAGAAAAAAAAAAAAGAGAGAGAGAGAGAGAGAGAGAGAGAGAGAGAGAGAGAGAGAGAGAGAGAGAAGGGTCCTTTGCTTTCATACATAAAGAAAAGCAGATTGATGCCCATCACCTCCCACCAAGATATCTCCTTCTCTCTGTCCCTCGGAAACCTGGCAGAGTCTTCCTCTCCCTCCGCTTTTTCTTTTTCTTTCTTTCTTTTTTTTTTTTTTTTGCAAGGATGCTTCTCTCCCTCCCCCTCCCCCCCCCATTCCGGCTGGATTTATTTTTAATATATATTTTTTTTTTGTGGCCAGACTCCGAGCACCTTTGTCTTTAAGAGGCAGATCCGACAACCCGAGCGGTGGGAGGGGCCAGCAGGCTCTTCCCACCTGCGATTGGGCAGCGGGGGCCGGTCCTTCCCGAGCCTTCTCCCCCCCCCCACCCCGCGCACTTCATCCTCCGCCTCCCCGTCTACCGCGCCTTCCCCAATAGATTCCTTCCCTCCTCCTCCCTCCTCCCCTCCCCACCCGCGCGCGCGCTCCCCCCTCCCTCTCGAAAGGGCAGTTCCAGTCTAGCGTTGACGTCACCCCGTCTGTCTGCTTCAGTCTCCTCTCTCCCTCCCTCCCTCCCTCCCTCTCTCTCTCTCTCTCTCTGTCTCTCTCTCCCATCTGAAACTGAATCTCCTTGGACTTGAATGAGGAGCAGAGGACGGAGAGGGGGGGCCGGGGGCGGAGGAGGGGGGAGGAGGAGGGAGGAACTCACATCTTGCCTGGGCAAGGCGAGCGCGAGAGAGGGGAGACGGAGAGAGAGAGAGAAACAAAGTCGCAAGTCTGGTCCGCTCCGTGTGCGAACTTCTAGGTCTGGAGGAGGGGGGGGGGAAATGGGGGCCGAGCCGCACCTCGCAGAGCTCCAGCCTTCTCTGACCAGCTTCTGATCCGAAGCTAGAGACCCACACATCTCTCCTTCCCCCCCCCCCCCCCCCCCCCCCCCCCCCGCAACTCAGGAGGGTGCTCTCTCTCTTTTTTTTTTTTTATGTTGAGATTTTTTTCCCCCTCCCTCCTTCCTCCGCAAAGGTTTCTCTCTCTCTCTCTCTCTCTCACTCACTCACTCTCTTTTAAAGTCAGTTACATTTGCCTCGGTTTCCTCTCCCATCTCTCAGCCTTCGCCCCCTCCTCCTGCCAGCGCTCCCGTCTTTATGTCGGGCTTCCCGGAGACCTTTTGAGGTCTCGCCGCTCCTTTTGTTTCTCCGGCTGATTTTTAAATGTATAACTTGATGGGTCTCAACAATACCGGCGGACCTAACCAGCCTAATGTCTCCTGTACTTGTAACTGCAAACGGTCTTTGTTTCAGAGTATGGAGATCAGTAAGTACTTCTTCGATTTATTTATTTTTTTTATTACACTTACGGTTCCTTCTCTCTCTCTCTCTCTCTCTCTCTCTCTGCCTTTCCCTCTATCTTTCTCTCCCTCTCTCTCCCTTTCTGCCTTTCCCCTCCTCTCCCTTTCTGCCTCCCCCCCTCTCTTTCTGCCTTTTCCTCTCTCTCTCTCTCTCTCTCTCTCTCTTTTTTTTTTCTCCCTACTTTGGGGAGGGAGGAGGGGGGGTGGCATTTGGATCTAGACCGTGACCTGCCCGATCGCCTGGCGTGGTTCCGTCCGGTGGGGGAAATGCGATCCAGACTTTCCAAGCGTGTGAAATGCGATCTAGACTTTCCTCTTCTGCAGCTTCGTCCGAGAGGTGGGGGGGACGAAGGGTTCCGATCCTGCGGCTTTTAACCCGCAAAGGAAACCCTCCGGCCGAACAGTTTTTTTTTTTTTTTTTGTCCTTCTAACCAAGAGTCTGAGACTTGGGTGGTTTAGTTCCATGGCGTTCCCCCCCTCTTTTACAACCTTCAGCCCCCCCTTTTTTCCCCCTCTTGTAACCCACTCCTCTTTTCTCCTACTTCTCCCTTCCCTCCATTTCCTCCCCTTCAAAAGTTGCGTTTCTTGCAATCCGGGGCGCTTCATTTCCTCTCTCTCTCTTTCTCTTTCTCTTTCTCTCTTTCTCTCTCCCTCCCTCCCTCCCTCTCTCGGATAGCTTCTTCCCCCGGCAGATAGTTGCGTACCGTATCTGCAGTGGGGTCGCTTGCAATCAAAAGCAGGGAAACCGAGTTGGTTTGGAGCGCGCGGGAGAGGGGGAATTTCAGCTCGAATCAAATCCTCCCCGCTTGGTTGTGTGTGTCTGTGTGTGTGTGTGTGAGTTGCCCTTCAGCTTCGCCGGCGGGGCTGCGGGAGACGGATGGCGGAGGGGGGGGGATGGCGGGAGAGAGAGAGGCGACCGGAGTCCGATTCCATTGATCGGCGCGTTCCGTTCGCGCTCCGGACACCCAAAGGACCGTGGGAACGCGCCGGGGGAAGGCTCTCCCGGTCTGGCTGGCTTGGCTTGGCTGGGCTGCGCGGCTGGGTCTCAGGAGCCGAAGACGAGGTGGGCTGGGGGTGGAGGGGGTGACGCGATCCTCCCCAGTGAGTTTTGATCGCCCCGGGAACTTTTGTTCCCAAGCCCAGACGGTAAAAACAGCCTGTTCGGGCTATTTAAAGCACACGCTGGATTGGAGGTTCCAACCGGCGAGCCGGGGAGATCTCTTCTTCCAAGACGAGACACCGTCTTTTGGGGTTTTATGGTCGCTGCCTCTGGCGGTTTTGGATTTTTTTCCCCCCCTCTTCCTAAATTGCCTTCCTGCAATCTGCTTGCTCTTCCTGAACTTTGCAGATCGGAGTCCCTTTCCCCTCCAGACCCTTCCCTTCCAGCTGTCCTAAACCGTTTTGTATTAATAACTCTTTCAACCTTCCCAGATATTTATATACAACTCTCGCTCTTCTTTTACAATTATGTCGTGCTTTGCTTTAATGGAAAGAGAAGCCCTTGGGTTTTTTTTTATTATTATTATTATTTGTTCCTGAAGCTTTAGATTGAATAGGTGACAATTCTGTGGAGGTGATCGGTGAAGCCTCCTTGGCTAAAGGCAGTATATCTTTGGTGCCCAAAGATGTACTGCCTTTAGAATAGGGCTGTGAGTTTGTGAGTTGTAGCTGAGCAGGGTTGGGAACAGAGGACTAAGCTTGGCTGATGGTGAGTTTTGAAGGTCTGATCCAATAGGACTTTTTGTGAAGCTTTTCTGTCACAGTTCTGGCTCCGGAGTTGTGGAGAAAGATACTGACAAGCCAGCCCATCGTGACATGACAGAATAATTGTTTAGCCATTAAGGCATCTCACCAAGGAGTCTGGCGTATGTGTTGAGAATGCAAACTGTTATGTCCGGCAAACCAGAATTTGTGACTATAAATAGTAATCACTCTGTCTGAGAAGTAGATTACAGCTCTGTCTAGCCTGTGGAAAGACTAAGTCAGACAAAGTTAGTCCCCCCTCCCACTCCCCGCCCGGTGTGTCTGTGCCCATAAAGATAGCTAAGCAAATATATTGTCACAGAGTTCCTGATATTTAAAGGAATAACCTCAATTCTCTTTCCTGCCCACATTTGCATTTTATTCTGTTCTGCGGTCATAACAGATCTTTGCTAGGGTTCCAAAAGAAAAAAATAATTGAAAAAAGGGGGCAGGGGGAATTGGATCAGAGAAGAGCCTTTTAAACATTTGCTGTTCTGGTGATGGAGAAATTGTTTCAATTTTTAAGGCTTTCCCTCCTATCCATAACTTAGACCTGAGCTGTTGATTACAGTGAGACTTCCTATTTAGTTGGCATGTCTGACTTTGCTTGATAAGCAGAAAACTGTCCTCCAGTTCTTCCTTCCTAGCCTGTAATATTATGGACAAAAATTGCCATTCCCTGCCATTTTTAAATTATCCAACACAGTAAGGCATTGGGGAAATGCCCAGAACTGGAATATTTAAAATACTGCATCGTTGTGATGAATTTGGCTGATTGCCTCTTCTCTCCTTTTTTTCTGGTAAAGGATCTGCTGTTTAAACTCAATCGATGCAAAAAATACACGCAGTACATGGCCATACCCTCCTTATTTATGAGCCTGCCAGTTGCCCTTGATGTATCTACTACATCACAGATTCCCAGACACAGCAGGCTAATAATTATTGTGGAACAGTGTCGTCTTCTCCCCTCTGTCAGAGATGTTAGGGTACAATTATTTCTTCTTTAAAATCAGCTAATTAAAAATCAATGTCCATGGAAAATGTGATTCCTCTAAATATTGCAGTGATTAAAATGGATGTTTCTCCCCTTTGCTGCTAGATAGATAGAGTGTCCCCTTTTTTTTGGCTGCAGGTCTTTGACTGTTTACCTACCCAGAGATTCCCAACACCCGACAATATTTTCTTTGCTAATAAAAATACGTATGGAGCTTCTGTCTGCTATGTATTATACCGCCAAATGTTTGCCTCCCTTTTTTTCCAAGGCTTGTCTATATATTTTTCTTTTCCTTTCAAATTCATCACCTTTATTTTCAGTTCCTTCCTCTCAGCTAATCAGCTGTAATGATGTTTTGGCTGACACAAGGCAGTCTCGTTAATTTAGTTGTCTGCTCTTCCAAATAGACTTCATTTCTCACTCCTGATGAAGTGATACTCAGGGGATTTCGACCTGCAAGGTTAGCATTAAGACGAACAACATTCAATATGTAATATACATATAAAATGCATGCATTCTTTAGCTGTCAAGGCAGGCAGGAGTAAAATGGGAGAAGGACTCATTTTTGCAAGCTGATTTTGACATAGCCTTCTTTTTAAAAAAAAATGCTTTTGAACAAATAAATTTGCCTGAATCTGTTGCAGCTTCTAGATCTATTAATTAGAGTTGGGGAATATGTGCGCTTGTGCTTATGTGTGTTTGTGTGCATTATATTTGAGGTTATTGTAAAATCTACTCCACATGTTGCTGAGGGGTTTTTTTTGTTTGTTTGTTTTTTTGAGAGCAAAACCCATTTCAAATTTCTGGAATCTATTTTCCAAAATTTGCCGTCAAAATGAAAAATGCCCTGAAACAATTTCCCATTGTCTGGGGCCATTCAAATATGTTGAACTATAATGCTTCTTGTAACTTTCCATCTGGGAGGGCTGATTGATATGAATTTTACTCCAAGACATAAGATAGAAATCAGATTTAGAAAGCCTGCATTAAAACACTTTTCACTGCCCAGGTTACAATAAAAGTCACGGTGGAACTACTCCATATTAAATAGGTTCTAATGAATATCACTGGAGTGCTTCACTCTCTGTATACGGATTAATACCCAAATATCAATTCCAGACATAATATGCAAATTAGAATGTACATGACTGTCATCATAATGTTGCACCATAAATATCAAAGCTGAACATGAGTGGCCATGTCTTATGGCGTTGTTCTCCCTCTGTAACTGAGAAATGAACTTAATTTTTTTAGTTGATAGGTACTGCAAGGTGGGAATAAGAATATCCCAAAATATCAGTCCACCTTCAACCTTCCATTGAAGGACAAAATCTTCTAATAACAGACAGCAGGTGTTTCTTACTGGGAACCATTTGTCCTTTTTTCAATTTTTTGCTTGGAACTTGAATTAGGTTTACAGGATCCTCTCTTAATGTTGGCAGCTAATATGGAAAACTGTTGGAAGTTTGTTTAAGATTGACTTTGGGCAAGAGCACAATACAGTATTATGTGTATTAAGTCTAATGAAAAGCTTTGGATGTTGCATGTTTAGTCTCAGTAGTATTGGCTGCAACTCAAAAGAAATTTAACCGGAAGTTTCATTAAACTCATTTCTGATTTACCAGATATGCCTATGCTTGCTTTGGGTCCAGGCACTAAATCACTGCCTTGTAATTTAAGATGACCCCTATTTGAAATGTTAAGAATTATTTGAAATAAACCCTCCTTAAAATGTTGACCTTGGTGTTTCAGTCTTTATGGTTGAAATAGTAAGCTGATATGGCACTTTTTAAAATATGCAATGAGCTTTAAAGTCTTTTCTTTGTTCTGTTTGATGTTTCAATTTATTTTTTATACTGATTTTCCCCTAGCTTAATTAATTTAGAATTACTTCCACAATAATTCTATCAATAATTGCTAAGGTTATTAAAATAACTGTTCTACCTTTAACAGTGGCAAAAGGTCACTTTAAAGCCACTTATGATTTGTTCAATAAAATGATCTAATGGCTTCAGCAGGTGGCAGGATTGGCTGACCTCATCTGAGCTATGAAGCTAAGCAGAGTTAGGCCTGGCTATTCATTGGATGGGATACTGCCAGAGACCATTCCATCCTGGAAGAAGACAATGGCCATGTTCTTCCATGCAGTCCCCATATTGTGGCCAAGGAAAATGGATGGACACATTGATGCAGTCAACCTCTGTTGAAAAGGAGACTTTACAATCTAAT